ATCACAAGAGACGATCTAAATTTTTCATTTTTTTATTAAATATTTTGTTGAATATTTAAAAATAGTAAAATGTAGTCGAATAATTAATCATTGTACTGAGAAATGTAATAAGAGCATAACAATTCTACAATTATTTAATTTACAATAATGAACAGATAAGTAAATTGCAATGCATATCATAGAGCATTTCATATCATATTTCTCCTACAGAGATATAATCTCAAAAAATTCTAACCTCTTATGACTCCATTTTATGCTTATAACATCAAAACATGTCCATAATCATCAGAATATACCTTATAGAATAAAATCCCAAAAATTTCAAAACTCTTATTGTAAATTTTTTAGAAATGTGCATAATCTTAATTTCTATAATATATAAAAATTTTTGTATAAGTGCAAAGTTATTCGTATTTTTTGCTCAAGACAAACAAATTGTAAAAATATAAATAAAAAAAGGTTAAAATTATGTATTTTTGAAAATTGATATAAGCATAGTGTGACCTACCTCAAGACAAACCAAATTTTCAACTAAGTCGATAGACAATAACAGCTTGAAATTGCCCAAAATCATATTTCTATTTTCTCTCTCCTCCCTCTTTCTCTCTATTTCCCAAATCACTCTATCAAAGGAAATCAAAAGACAAATGGCTTTTAAAAAGATTTTTTAATTAATGGAAAATGATTTTATAATAAATATTATTATACTAATTATTTAATTTTTTTACAATGCCAAAAGAATTTATAGAAAAATATTCATAAATAAGCTAAGCATATTTAAAAAACTAGTGAAATCATTTTACAAAACGAACACCTAACAGTCCCAACATCTCACTTGTACTGACAAGTGCTAATTTCTTAAGGAATTTCATTAATACCCAAAACAATAAGAAAATTAATGAAGCTAAAATTGAATAATATATATGCTATATGGTGAAGATGATTTGTGATTTGGACCTATAACGACTTCTACAAAAAAAACTTTTTAAAAATTTTTAGGATTATCACACTTTATAAGTGTGTTGGAGAATTGTGATTTATGTAAGAATTTTTAATTCACCCAATCAAATGATTTTGTTAGAGTGGAGCAGTCAACCTTGGCATGAGGATTTATATTTCAACCAAGTGTGTAAAAGAAAGAAGAGTCATGGTGGATACAAGATGGTTACACTAGTGCCTCCTCCCTCTCTTTCTTGATTTTAAACTTTTCCTCTCATGTAATGTGATACTCATTAATTCAAATTGGTGGAAAGAAGAAGCCATTGTTGTTTTGTGACTGAAAATTGAAGGAAAAATTCTTTAGCTGGAGCATGGTGATGGCCAAACTAGAAAGGAGTGATTCAATTTAAGACTACTATTTTGATTAGTAGTAGATTTTTATCTATATGTTAATTTTTATAATTTTCCTTTATATTATGTTTTATCAATCATCCCCACTCAGAAAAATTCAAACCCTAAATTTTCTAGAAAATTATTCCATCCATTTAGGGCTTTTGCGTGAATCAACTAAATTAGGTTTAAATACACTTAGTTGTAGATTTGCTTTTTATTGAATGAGATAAACTCCTTAAAAATTTACCAAAAACTCTATGCCCATATTAAACACCTAAAATTTGATTTACATACATATATTTATTAGTAGTAGTGTCAAAAAATGACCCGACTTGCCAACCCAACCAGAAAAATTCAAGATGGGGTTGACCCGCTAACCTAATTTTGACCGAAATAACCTATTTAATTATTTTTTCTTAATTTTTTTAATTTGTTGGCATGCGTGTCTTATTTTTTTTAATTAATCTAAATTTATTGCTAAAAAGTTATATATATATTTTAAAATCAAAACAAGATATCAGGTTTGGTTAGGTCCGCATTTTTAACCTGCTTATCAAACATGACATATTTGGCAAAACTGAATTATGGCCAAGTTAATTTCAAATCATACATGAACCCAACCTATTGACCCATTTTGGCGCCTCTATTTATTAGGATTTTTGTTCACAAATATCCAAGTTTTAAAAGCTCTAAGTTTAATTCAACCTACAACCAGAGAGAGAAATTCTCAGACTAGCCTTAAAAAATATTAAAAACTCATAAAATTCAACAAATTCTCTAGATCCAAAATAGTCATCTTTACCCTCAATTTAGTTTTTCTTTCATGTCATTTGGGCTTATAGAGAGGATGTTATACTGTTAGAACCTATAGCTCCAAATCTTGGCTAGTTGTTGGAATTGGGTTGGTCAAATACTAACACCTTCTCAACCCTAATTTTACTCAAAATAAGACTTCACCAAATATATCCTTCCTCTTTCAGGCAGCTCAAGAGAACCCCACATCCACCATTTTTTTCACATCAATGATTTATGCCCACACCCAATACCATCCCCCCACCCAATACCATCCCCCCTTCTATTAGGATTAACCTAACAACTTGAAACAAGCATTCAAATTATTTCATTCTAAGAGTAGTCTTAGACAACCTAACAATCATCAAACTCTTCTTATTAGCCCTGTTATAAAAATACTTGTCCTTCATTGGATAGGCAACCCAAATCTCCAATATGAGAGAATTACTAAGCTAAAAGTAATTTATGCAAAATTTCTATTACAAAGAACAACATAAAATAACATTTAAATTTTTACAATAGTGAATAAGAAATAATTAAGCAAAAGACAACACAAGGCAAGTTTTCTTGATTGATGAAAACTTGAATCTTTATAAGGAACTACTTCCAATTGATTTAATGATGAAGCTCATAATCTTAACATTTTTCCTATTTTTATTGCTTCTTTTTTCATATCCTATGCATAAGGAAAGAAACTAAAAGAAGCAAGCCAAAACAACAGATAAAATGACAAAAAAAAAAAAGCCTTTAAAAACTCATCAGAAATAGCTCTTAAATCTAGGTGTTGGTAGCAATTTCACAAATGAGAAGAGCATCTTATTTTTACCATGATTAATCAATTTTAAATGCAAAATATATGATAAATAAAGAACTAATTGAATCCAATGGAATATAAATTAAGCTAAACTTCTTCATTATAAGAATTTAATAATTTTAACTAATTAATAATTAACATGCAAAATTATATTTAATCCATTTAATGTCTATAATGAGAACTTAAAAAGATAACAAAAAATGATAATAAATGACAAAATAATTAAAGAATACTTAATGATATGAAAATATAATATAAATTCCTTAATTATGCAAGAATGATATAAATAGTTAATTTATTATAAATAAACACAAAATAAGCATCATTAATAAATTCAATGAAATGATTAGAAAAGTTAAGATACATAGATTTAACAAACATAAGAATGAACCAATCATAATGACAAATAAATTATATACCTGGATTACACATTTCAAAAAATTATTTACATATTCACTTCTCAAATAATTATTTACAAAAATCTAGATTTCAAGACTTCCAACAAAAATATAAATGCAATCTAGGCTATAAAATCATAAATACTTGTTAAACTTGGTCTTATGCTTCCCATCGAATTTGACATACTAAACGCAATATTTATATTTGCCCAAAAAGATATAACAATGGAGTGAATATATTACTTAGTAGGTCAACCCCATTTCCTATAACAAAATTCAATACATAATATTGAAATAGATTTAAAATAAATTCGTCTTAATAATGTTTAACTAAAGTTTTAGGTATACAAATACAACTATGAATGCAGAATGAATGTATATTGTTGCCCCTTATAACTCCCAATTCTTCCACCTCCCACATGTTCAAGACAGACGCAGAGCAAAGTAAAACTAAAACAGAAGAAAATTCTGATACAGAGCCAATGCAGAGACAAAACAAAGTATTTCAATATATAGCATTTCAACCTTGGGCCCAAGTAGAGAATTTTATAGTACTTTCCTTTCTATTTTAGAAACTCCATATCATAAAATGCAAGATAATACAAATGTAAAGTGTGAGTGAACTTTCTAAGCAATTAGCATCATATGTCAACTTGTATAGAAAACCCCCACATTTTAGTTACCAACACAAAGTGCTTAGAACATTATTAATTTCATATAGGTTGTGTATAATGCTAAAGTAATATACTTTATTAATTATACTGTAGTTCAAAAATGACACCATCTCCTAGAATAATAAAAAATTCATCTAGAACGTCAAAATTTTTTATTCTTATAATCATATTGTCTGAAACAGAGAATAAAACAATATACTAAAAGCTATGATTGGTATTATTTAATGGGTTTGGTGTAGTTTTCTCCTCTATCCTTTATTTTTAGGCTAGCCAAAATGAATTGGATTCATTTTGCTAAACCTCATAACATGGGAGTATCAAGTTGGCTATCTAGCTATCATCCATCACTAAAAATTTAGCTAGATTAAGGCTCAAAAGCTTTGATAGCTTAGATTAAGAAAGTCTAAAGCATAATAGATTTAATATTTAGCTCCATAGCATTATTGTCATAATAATTGGAGTTTCAAATACCACATCTCTTAAATGATTCTTTAATATTTATCTTCTAATATTTTATATTTTCCTCTCGAACTCATAGAATTAAGCTCGAACTCGAGCTTAAAGTTGATTAATTAATCAAGCTTATTCTCAAATTAGGGATGACTCGATCTTGGCTCGATTGACTCGTTTACACGCTGAAATCAGTTGATTCAATTGTTCATATTGAATTATTATTTTTAAACTAAATAAAATTTTCATTTATATTAAATGAATTTTCAAAGTATTTACCAATGAATTTAATGTATTCTAATAAGAAGATTGATGACCTTTGTTTGAAAATAAAATCCTCTCATTAAAAAATATTAATTAAAAAAGAAGAAGGTAGCTCTTCTTGGTATGTTTGTTGGTTGAGTCTTGCATATGTGTTGTGAGTGTAAATTTGTTTTAATTAGCCTAAATGTAAAAAAAAATAATAATAATAATAAATAAAAATAAAAAAGTGACTCATAAAATTAAGCTTTTAGGCGGGGTGTTTGGAATGCGGCCCACAGCCCACAGGCCCGTAATTAATCGGGAGTGTTTACGCCTGTTTTGAGCTTAAACCCTAGAGATATTTCGCTCCGGCGAACTTGTAGCCATGAACCCAGCTGTACTCCGGCGAACCCTTTTCCAAGCCCTCCATGCTCACCATTATCTCTCTCCCGCCCCTCTCCCCAAATCCTATCCTCTTCCATCCTTCACCTTGTCCTCACGCCTTCGCGCCCGCGCCCTACTTTCCTCCAACTTTCGCCTCTTCTCCTCTGATGCCGGAAAACCTCCTCCTTATCGGCCGCCGGAGGCGACGGCCCAATCTGAATGTGCCACATCTTCTTCCCCTTCCTCCATAGATGATTCCAAGAAGGCTGATCTCGCTATCAAAGATGTCAGCAACAAGGGTAAACTCTCCCATCGGCATCCTCCGTTCTCCTATTAGCTACAAATTTCTCATTTTCTTTTCCCCCCTTGATATCCTTACAGAGCTGAATGGCCTTATCGAACAGTACTTCAAAGGGGACGAGCAAATACTTCCGTCGATTATGGAGGCTATATTGAAGCGCGGGCTTTCTAAGAAGCACGAAGAAACGGATGATGAGTTGATGGACGAGCTCCGGATGGCGCCGCTGGAGGATGTCAAGGATGCCGAGTTCGAATCCGACTTCGAGGAACTCCACGAGACCGATGAGGAGATTGTTGACCTCTATAATGCTCGTGAGTACGTGGAGAAGAAGATGATGAAGGACGAATTCTTCAACATGGATGATCGAAAGTGGGATGAAATGATCAAAGAGGCAACAGAGCAGGGCTTCCTGAAGGATACTAGGGAATGCGAGCAAATACTTGAGGATATGCTCAGCTGGGACAAGCTCCTTCCTGGTAACTATTAAGACAGATCTTTAAATTGATAGCCATTTTTTCCTTCCTGCTCTTAGTGTAATATGTTATCTATTGAAGTCAGTGATGTTTATTAGATAATTTACATCCGAATCTTTTGACCATTTACCTGAACAGAAGAGTGGTGGCAACGACTGAGAGATTGTGATTCATTTAAGATTTTGTCTTAATTTATCCAAGTTGAAGGTTCCTTTGCTTCATATAGTTACTGGAAAGGGGTGTGAATTTGTCTATTGGATGGAGGAATTTGAGGATGATTACTGAATGTTTAAATTTTGTTTCTTTTATTTAGTGAAGATGCTTGTTTCAAAGTGATTACATGCCATGATTATGTAAAATTCAACTATTGCAGGCTTTGCCAATTGCCATCAATGGACTAGGATGTTGTTTTGTGCAAATAGTGGAATTTGATGTAGAATGGATACTATGAAAATTTAGCTCTTTGGTTTCAGTTACAATTGTGTTCATTGAAATCATAGCAATGAGCCTTAGAAGGTATATTTTAGTCGTACTAGATCAGTAACATAGATATCCCATATTCGCATGGCATTACCATCAAACTCACTACAATATTGGAGTAATCTGATGCTGGTGATATCTGTATCTCCATCTTGAGGCATTAGGGGGCAACAAAAAAAATTTATTAGAGACTCTTTAAACTTAGGTGCAATAACATAGTCTATTAAAAATCTCCGTTTAAGCTAACACATCTGCAAACACATAATTATTACACTTTCAATTATGCTCAATCATATCATCACACTTATGCTTAAACATACAAGAATGCATGATTGTTTTGAACATGTGGCATAATATTATATTTGATGAGATCTAGGGCAACATTTACATATTAAATTGAATGGTTCTTCAACTACTTCATTTAGAACCTTTAGGTAATATTTTATTCAATAATCACAAACCATATTGAAATTAGATATTGCATAATATTCCTGGCTAGTTTTTTTTTTTTTTATGGAATATCTTCCAAGTATATTTTGTTCATCTCAGGCACATCATGTTCTTTAGTTAAATTGATTTCATGGTAACATATCAATAAATTCATAAAGCTTGAAAGTATGCATTGCCTCTAACATAGAAACGTTCAACATTGAATTAGATTTAATAATTATTGAAATCCAATGGGTAATCTTGTGTTGTAGTTAGGAACGAATTGGCAAATTCATGAGAGGTGATTGGAATTAGTTAGGTAGTTGGAGTGAAGACATATTGGATGAAGAAGTAGCAGACAAGGGTTTCTTTTCATGGATGTGTTTGGGAGGAGGAGGTGAAGTCAAGGCTTGATGTGCGTATGCTAAGTCAAAAGCTATGTTAGGTGGATGAATTGTTAGGGATATTAGTGATAATGAGCTGAGCAAGTGCTCAAGAGAAATGATAGCGAGGAACTGTGTAAGCATGTAGGTCAATGAGCAATCGAGTAAACAAGCATGTGAGAGAGTGATCATGTGGACATGTAAGCATGTGTGATTGTGTGCAAGTGAATTTGAACAAGCAGCAGGCACAATGCAAGATGCGAGTTGGTTATGCAGAGCGGGTTACAATAGGATGGATTTTGAAAGTGAAAGATGTTCTCAGATACTTCCAATTACAGTTGAAGGCAATCAATGAAAGTGTTGGGAAAATGTTAGTTACCAATCAAATTTAAATGGCAGACAAGGAAGTTGGGTATATAGCTTTCCCTCATCTCAATCTTCAATTTGACGAGCGTGAAATCCTCTTAAATGAGGGACCCAACCTTTGATGATTATATAAAATATGTGATAAATCATATAATCTATTATCATAATTTAGGCATTAGATTTTGGAAAGAACGAAAGGATCATGCTCATTGAGGTTTTAACTTTCTAATATCTTTATGTAGACTGTAAATGATAGTTATTTGCACCTCATATCATTGAGGTCAAAGAGGATGTTGACAGGAGTCCATAAATACAATCGAATAATCAATTAACATCATATGAGAGATGAAAATACTGAAAGTTGAGCTGTTCGATTAAAATTTAGATTATATTAAGATAAGATGAGTTAGAATTTTTAAATTTGTTTGGATAAACTTGTTTTGAATTTAAATTCATGATTAGGATAAGTTCTTCTAGAATTATCTTTTAGTTTGAAGATATTAATTTGCTATTTATAGATAGCATTTCATCTTTTGCTATGAAGATATTTCGAGTTTGTTATGAGTGGATGAAATCTTATCCATACTATATCTTGCAACTTTAATTCTGTGGCTCAGAATTTTTCATGGGCATTGTTTTAATCACTTTTCCGTCAATTTCATATACAATTTATGCAAATCATGTGCTACTAGAACTTCACAATGATTGGCATGATGCATTAAACAATTTTGCTTTTGTTAAGATTAAATGTCTTGAACTTGGTTGTGTCGTATCATTTTTCAAATACTTGTTGGAGAATTCTTTGGGAAACTACGCTTCTCTTGTTAGCATTTTCATATTTCTTTGTGATTTAATTTGCATGTTACAATAGTTTACAATTGACCACTATATACTGATTATCTGTCTCCTTTAGATGTTTCATTTGGAAGCCATCCACTGACAACAACTTACTATATAAATAGGTCCCCATGTGCTTATTCTACCATTTATTTGTTTTGACCTCTCACTTGTGTGCATTTGGTCTTTTCGCATCTACAATTTTATTGGAGGTAGAGAATTAGGTGGGTTGAACAATTATTACGTCCTCTGACCGGACGTAAAGGAACGTCCGGTCGGAGGCAAATTCCCGCCAAAAAATAAGTTGTACCGAGCAAATACCGAGCAATACCAAACAATAACGAAGAATACCATCATTTGAAGACCCAATACCGAGTTATACCGGGCTTTACCGAGCAAATACCGAGTTATACCAAAGTTGTACCAAAACTCGGTACAACTCGGTATTTCTCGGTACAGCTCGGTATAACTCGGTATTGGTCTTCATAGAACGGTATTCTTCATTATTATCAAATAATACCTAGTTGTACCGAGCAAATACCTAGTTTTTGGACGGGAAATTGCCTCCAACCGGACGTTCCTCTACGTCCTTGCACCGAACGTAATAAAAGTTCGTTGGTGGGGGTGGGGATGGTGAGGTGGAAAATTAGGAGTGGTAACAAAAACAAAGCAAATATTTTGAACAAAAAAAGTTTTCATAGTTCACAACATTTTCTCCTTTTTGTTTCATGTGTGATTGTGCTTGTGGCGGCTAAATCTTTTATATGAGTTTTAACGAAACAAAGTGACGGTTTTGAACCGAAAAAGCTTTCCAAAGTTAATATTATTTTTTCTTTTTTTCCATATGATTTTGGTTGTATGGGGGGTGGAGTATTCCGGATCCTTACTAGTAACTGCATTAATAGCATGATTTATGAAAATGAAATGTGCTACCATGATTGAATAGACTTGATGTTTAAAGTTTTCAGTTGTTTAATATTTAATTATCATTATTGATCATTCTCTAAGTCAAAGTTGCAGGTCTACTTCTCTATAGAACTAAAGTGAGTTTCACTTCTTTATGTCTTACGAACACACACTGTCAATTGGTCTAAGCAAATTCAGACCATCCAAATTCTCACCTTATTAGATAAGCCCCTTGAAAATTATGTAAAATTACACCCTTGCCACTGTGAGGAATTGAACAGTCTAAATTTGAACTGTTTATAGAAACTAAAGAACTATTAGATTGTGGAATTAGCATAATCTATTGAATTAAATCAAGAATTTTGAACTATGAATCTGATTAATAAAAACTTAAATGACATTACCTGTTATTCCTATCCACATATTTGTTGAATTTTAGAAAGTTGGTTTTCTTACGGATTACCTTTGGTTGCCATGGTTATTAATCAATGAAAATAATTAAAAAATACATTTCAAAATCACTTGATTAATGTATATATATATATATTGCATAAACCTAAGTTTTACGGCTCATCCTGTTTTAATCTATGCCAGTTGGAGCATTTCTTCACATGTTCTTCTTTCTCAAGCAAATCTCCTTGAATTAATTATGTCCACAGCAGTCAACAAAATTAATTTCGTATTTTTGGATGGGATGATTTCATAAATCTCCATGATTTCAGATGAGATAAAGCAAAAAGTTGAGGCTAGGTACAACGAGTTAGAAGACATGGTTGGAGAAGGAAAATTAGAACCCGAGGAAGCTTATAGACAGTTCAAAGAATTTGAAGACCAAATGGTTCTTGAATGCGCAGAAATCATGGCATCAGAAGAGCCTCCCCCTGATGAAAGTGAAACTATTGAATCAGATAGCAAGAAGAAGATAGTTTTGGATGATCCACCTGGTGAAGGACCAATCCTAAGGTGGGAATCACGTGTTGTTTTTGCTCCAGGTGGTGATGCATGGCATCCAAAAAATAGAAAAGTCAAACTTTCAGTTACTGTAAAGGAGCTGGGACTTTCGAAACATGCATTCCGCCGATTAAGAGAGGTGGTGGGAAAGAGGTATCATGCTGGTAGAGATGAGCTCACAATCACTAGTGAGAGGTATGCCTATACTTGTGCAATCAATAACTTTAATTTTATTATTTTATTGCCTATAGTTTTGCGATGAAACCTTTTGTTTACTTTCAATATATTTTTAATTAATTCATGAATTGTTGGATATGCTCTAATATTTAAGTTTTTTCATAGGATAAAATTTTTCTTAACAAAAGAAGAAAACTTGAATTAGCTGTTGATTCTAGCATGTTTTGCAATTTCTCTCATTTGTGTTTTACTAAAAATGCAATATTATTTTTCTTAATTAGATATTATAACTTGTATCTTTTTTAAATTATAGGACTTATATTAACATATAAGAAATGAAATATTGATTTTTTTAGGGATAAATTTTTTAATATTTGTATAGTTGATTTATCATTATTTGAAGGATAACTAAAGAAATTACTTTTCAAATTTCTTCGAGAATGAAAAATTATAATTTCAACTCAAACATAATTTGAATTCATAAGTGTATTGGTTTAATTTGATTCAATTGCACATCTATATGAGTTTTATAACTTCTTGAAAAAATATTCAAGTAAGAAGAATTAAAAATTCCACTAAAAAGTTAATTTGATGTAACTTTTATAATGCAATTTTATTTTATTAAATTATTAATGGCAAGCAGTTAAGTGAGTTAAATTTTTAAAACAATGGATAATTTGTTGTTATTATTTCTATGAATTTGAGAGTTAAATTCGGAAGTGTTTGAGTTTGTTATTTGTAAACTTTATTTATATCCATAATTATTTGTAGTGGAATATTTGTTATAAAAAACAAACTTCAAACGTGAAATAGATATATGTTTTTTTTTAGAATGGTTAAGCCGTTAACCAAATAAGTTATTTTTTCTATATCTTCGTTATTGTGAAATTACAATTTCAACTCAAACATAAATTGAATATGATTATAAAAATATGGGCTTAATTTGGTTTAATCATATAAGAGTATTAAAATTTATAAATCATGATTTATGAAACTTGTAATTGTGAAAAATATTCATGTAATATGACATCAAAACTCAATAGAAAATTGTATATAATTTAATTTTTATAATTAACCTTTTTTTTACCTAGAAGAATGATTCTAATTTGATTCAGTCATAAATATATATCTATAAGTTTTATAAATTTTTATATAGCAAAATATGTTTTTGTAATAAATATTGAAGACAAAAAGAATTATAAATTCAATAAAACAATAAATTAATGTAATTTTTTATGATTTTTTTTATTAAATTGGGAATAGATTTAAAAAAAAAAATTTAGTAAACAAAAGAAAATGTTATTACTGCTTTATGAATTTGAGTGAAGTTCAAATTGCATGTCAAAAGGTAGTTATTAGCAAATTTGATTTATATCCTATCATTATTTGCGGCTAGTGACACTCACCCTACTAATCATTTCAACTGTGATGTTTTTTTTTTCCTAAAAGGATGAGAAGGTTTTTGTTTTTCTTTATGTGGTATTCAATTTTTTTTTTTGGTGGGGTGGGGGGGATTTTTACATAATTTAATAGGGAGATAGAAATGTAATATGTAGCCATAAATTTTGGCTTGGCTGTGATATTGACTACATAAGTTTTTTTAAGTAGTAGGAAGATTAAGGGTTAGGAAAATTTTTTTAAGAGGTAGGTGATAGGACTTGATGATCAAAACAACACAATAATATAAAGAAACAACAATTTACTCCAAATTTATCTAGAAATAGCACTAGGAGTCCTGTCTTTATTAATCTCCAAGCTAAGAAAGGCAAGGTACAAGTTGATTTACTATTCCAGAGGTGAATCGTTTCTCCTGCAATTCCTAGCAGCCAGTAGGAACTCAAACACCCAACAAAAATTGCTACAGAAAACAAAACTCAACATAAGCACTAACCCTCCACAATCTCCCCTCTTAAACAACCCAAATCCTCTAATAACTCTTAAAATTTTCCCAAAGAGTTCGGCCCCAAAGACTCTTCTCCTATAAGTGATAAAGAGGTCCTGAGCCCCATCGGGGCAGTTGGGTCGTTGTCAGCCACCGCATCAATACTCATATTGCCTCATATTATGATAAATCCTTCCACTTGATCATGAATCAAATATACAAAGTTAACTCTGTATGGATAGTCTAGACAGTGAGATAAATATTTTTTAATTTCATTATCAAGTACTCAAATCTAAGAAAATTTTTTTGAGCTTCTATAAAAAAACATCTAGAATAATCTCAATAAATTTTATTTGAAAAAGTTTTTAGATATCACACTTTAGTGAGGAGTATTATAAGAAATATACAAAGTTAACTCTGTATGGATAGTCTAGACAGTGAGATAAATATTTTTTTAATTTCATTATCAAGTACTCAAATCTAAGAAAAAATTTGTGAGCATGTATAAAAAAAAATATAGAATAATCTCAATCAATTTTATTTGAAAAAGTTTTTAGATATCACACTTTAACTCAAGATTTGTGAGCTCCTTAGAAGTTCACGAAAGTAGCAATGTAAGATGGAATAACGAGGCCAAGACTTGAGACACAATAGAAATAGTTGCCCCCAATTTTGGGTAACTTATGGACGTCATAAAAAGGAAAGCTTTGGCCCAAATTTGTTTCATAAGTAGCCCAAGAAATGAAAAGCATAACGTGGGTTAGGTAAAATATCAATATTTGAAAGAAATAATAATTTCATTTCGATCTCTTTATTTTTTGTGTGAGAAGATATTTAATTGTGTATTAAACTAGCAGGTCTTGCAGCTTTAGATCTATGGATTCTGCAGTTTCTCTCAAAACAAATACTAAAAATCATAATATTGGCAATTAGTTGATAAAACTTCTTTAAAGCATATTAATAATGACGTGAAGTACTGAAATCCAAATTTTGCATTGAAGCAGCATTTAGAAGAAATAAATTCCCACCAAGAAGAGAATTGCTTACTAGCTACATTAAGAGCAACTAAAGAAATGGTGGGACTAAATTTCATTATCCAAGGAACAAAGAACACATAGTTATTAATGTTAATTCCCATATCAGAATGGTCATTGGATCTATTGTTCAGAGTGATGGTGAAATAGATGGGGATATTATCAGCAGAATTCAAGTTGGATGGTTGAAGTGGAGGAATGCATCGGGCTTGTTGTGTGATAGAAAAGTACCCCTCAAACTTAAGGGAAAATTCTATAAGATGGTAGTGAGGCCAGCAATGCTTTATGGTGCAATGTTGGCCATTAAAGAGAAACATAAATACTAAGTTTAAGTGTGGCAGAGATGAGGATGCTCAGGTGGATAGAGTTGGCTTTTATTCCTTATAGATAGGATTACGATGAGCTTATACGTGAAAAGGTTGGAGTAGCTCACAGTAGAAGATAAGATTAGAGAGAGTCGCCTTATTTGGTCACATAAAACGGCGGCCTTCCAATGACCCGGTTAGGAGAATAGAGGTATTAGATTTGACTTATGTTAAGAAAGGTAGAGGTAGACCTAAAAAGACTTGGTTAGAAAATATTATGAATGACCTTTCTTTATTGGAATTAAACGAGAATTTGACCTTTAATAGGACACAATGGAGAAAAAGGATTCATGTAGGCGACCCCACATAGTGGGATAAAGGCTTGATGTTGTTGTAAGAAAAGACAATATATCTTTCACATTCCAAACTAACTTATCTTGATCGGAAAGAATATGAATTGATTTAATGAGACTAAAGTAGATAGCTTTATTCAGCGAGGAAGGGTAGGGGAGAGACCATTCCCCTGTAGCAATGATGCCCCCACATAAGCATTAATTTAATTGGGAGATTAAAAACAAAATTTACTTAAGAACCCATAATTTCTTTTAATGAAACCCATTCAGCCATGGGTCATTGAAAAGGGAGAAGCTTTAAACACTATGAATGGACTAGGCTGACAATCAATAATATTTCAAAGGCAACGAATTGTAATTCTCTACAAGAGTTACATAGCTCAATAGAACATCCATCCCAATTGGAACCATAAAGAGCATTCAACATTTGACATAGAAGACTAGGAACACAAAAATTCTTCCAAAAAAAAAATATTTTGCAGGCAATATTGAGCATTAAGTGAGGGGAGTTCTTATCTACATTTGGATTTGGGAATTGTTGTTGGATACCAAGAAATAATATATAACTTATTAAGAGAGCTGCACCAAACTGGTCACCTTCTTGAGTAGACATTTAGGTAGAGACAAGGATTTAAACAGATATGAAAGGTAGCTCTAATTAGAAAATATGTTATGTTAGAACCTACCAGCACATGATGATAATTTTTTAATATAGCCTGGCAATCCTTAAATATGATTCTAGAAGAAGTGAAAGAAATATTAACGTATTTAAGAGGGAGAGAGCAACTAGGAATTCCAAGGATCTCACAAAGGTGCTAAGGGTTGGCCTTGGCATTATTTAGAGCTACTAGGAATAAAAAAATAGGTATTATTTAGTTTTAAACTTAAAATCTATTTTGATTTTTTTATTGAAATATTATTCTCATAAAATTTGATTCGTAATACTTTCAACCGTCATGCTTCATGATCAATAAAATTGATGTATGCTTTTATATCTCAGAGATCAAATGGATTTTTTTAATTCTTCATGCACCATCAAACAACTGCAATTTGTTTCATATATTATACGTATAAGAATACCTAAAACTTGAACCTAAAAATATTAACTATGCAAACTTATCAAAATGTTATATTTTGTGAAATATTTTTTTATTTTTAAAATATTTAGAAGTTTGTCAAGGAACAGTGATTTCCTACTGCTGAATTTAGCTCAAGATAGTGTACTAATAACATAATGTAATAGTTGAGAGTTTGTATGATGACCAAAGACATTAGATTCTAGCTAAGGATTTATTTGAGATGGTTTTAGCTTTTTATAAAGATAATTATGAAGTTGTTATGAGAAAATAAATTTTATTTTAGAGATGCTATAGGCATTATAAATATATTAATTTTTTTCTTCTAAGGTTGTTTTATTATAGTTTACACACATTAATATATCTGGTTATAAAAAATAGTTTTTCTTCATAAAAATGTCTAAAAAGTAGCAAATAAAAACTAGATTGCAATTTTAAAATCAAAATAGTTTGGAAAAGCTATTCTGAACATTCCTTAAATTCTAATTCAATGAAGTAAAAGAAATTGCCTTGTTTTAATTTTTGTTAAACTACTATGATCACTATAAATTTGGAAAGGGTCTTTACTTTTCTGTATTAATTCCATGGTGTGGTAAAGCTTATACTAATACAGATTAATTTTTGCCTTGTGATTGAAAGGTTTGAACATCGAGAAGAAAATAGGAAGGACTGTCTGAGAACTCTCTATGCATTAATTGAAGATGCAGCTAAAGCAGATAAATTGGTTGAAACGGCCAGAACTTCTTATTTCAAGGATCGTCTTAAATCCAACCCCAACTTCATGGAGAAGCTGAAAAAGGTCAGGGCCTTGAAGGTTCAAGGATCTGAGCAAGTTCCTGCCTAATGTGGCTTTAAAGATTAAACAAGGCTTCTTTGTCATTGAAGGGTATCATTAGCTTCTACTAATGTGCAGCTGTTATCTGCAACTGTTTGATTTTCCTGATTGATTCAGAAGAAAATTTTGAAGAACAGGATATGCATGATTCAAGAGCATGTCCAGATTCCTAGCTTAAGTTTTATGATTTCAAGCTATATTTTAGATTTTCTGAGGTTTTTTTTTTTTTTTTTGAAATTGTTAAAAACTCTGTAAGAATATGTTGATATCATTTGTATCTAAATGAAGCTAATTCCATCTGACTTGTCTTAGTAGATCATATGTTTATTTGCTCTCCCATAAAATCATATAGGCCAATTGTTTCTCTTTCATTTTTTGTCATTCTTATATACAATCGGTCGAACCAGGGTCGAACCAATGACATAATATATATATATATATA